TGGGGTATAAAATATATTAGCTTTTAGGCGATTATAAGGAAAGTAACTAAATTAATAGAGTTCAGGGTGGGAGTTGCCTGCGGGTGGGTTCTTAAGTAAAGTGCTGTCATGAGATGAGATGAAGTTGTGTAACTTGGTCTCAAATTACCGAGTCAATACATCTTTGCTGTGCCATGCTAAAACAAAGTAATGACTGGAAGCTAAGCCATAGGGCCCTAATCAAGCCAGATCATCTGGCAGTTAGTGGAGGAGCAAGGCAGGCAAACAGTCTCCACAGACCTAATTGAAAGGTTTGCAGCCTTCTCACATGGGGCAGTGAGACAGTCACAAGGATTTGGACAAAGTTTCCTGGACTAATATCAACATCTGGGAATCCTGAGTCCGAAAACACCAGAGCTCTTGGATTAGAATGGAATTAAGATGTCTGTAAAAGAAAATGTACTGAATGTGTGGGTTGTTGTTTTGTTTTTTACTAATTTTAAATATATAAGTAATATATTAAATGCAAAAAAATACATATAATACAAAAATATTTAACATTACAAATAAGTTTAAAGTACCTGTTGGCCAAGATCTCCAAATCTAATCTAATACCTTCCTTGGAGGTAACCACCATCGTCAGTATCTTTCTCCTTAAATCGTAGGCGTCACTGTATCATTAGAAAATATATTTTATGTTGCTCTTTTTAAAATATTTAAAATGAATGTACATATGGTTCTGCAACTTGCTTTAGTCGTGTAAGAATATCTTGCTAATCTTTCCACATCAGTAAATACATTCATTGGGTGCTTATGTAACAGTCACTCTTCCAAGCATTGTATTTCTATTAATGCATTTGGTCCTCACAGCAGTGCAGTTATTAGTGCTGTGTTATCATTGTGCCCATTTTGCAGTTGAGGATCCTGAGGGACAGAGAGGTTGGGGAAATTGCCCAATTTAGTGGCGGAGCCACTATCTGGATTTTGTTTGAGGAAGACTTACTACAGATCACTCTCGTGGTAACTGTTTTACACCCCCTCTCCGATATACATAAACCTACATCTGCACGCAGGACGTATCAACCGCAAACCCACGGGCCCACCTTCTGTGAACTTGCAGTGACTGTGAGTGATGTGCAGCTACTGTTCAAGTTTTAAAATGCCACCAAGTGTCTCATGATGCTCAGCATTGTAGTTGATAGTAGCATAAGTGAGATAATAGAAGTAGGACTGGTTTTGAGGAGAATAATGCCCGTAAGAATGCAGAGCAGCCCCCGTTGTCCTGCTACTCCATTCCCCTCCTTCCCTTGCCATCTCTATCTGATCTGTGGGCCGCATTCCATTTGCGTCAAAAATAACGTCAATCTAGTGAAAATACTGAATGACTCACAGCATTACTGTAGGGAAACTGGTTGCTGTGTAATAGGATATATAACATCCTAATTTCATAGAACATTTTTCATAACAGCTGCTAAAATCATAATCGAATCCATTAAATTTTTTTAAAGGATGCAATTCGAAGCAATATTGAAGCTAGTCTTCAAAGGCAGGTACACTAGGGTGGAGTCCCACCCATGCAACACCACTCTATCCTTAACTACTTCATTTCTTTTCTGTGTTTGTCTGTCTGTATTTATTAATCTACTGGAGTCTGCTCATCTTTTGTGTGTCTAGCTGCATTTGAGTCAGAGGTAGGCTTCTTTCAGAGACTGGAGGGTCTGAAAAAAAAGAATAGAGAAGGAAAGGAGAGATGAAAAGGAAATTTCCCTCTGATTCTTATGGACAACAGAACACGATAGCCTGGAGAGAAGGGGTAGGAGAAGAGCCCAGGGTCTTGGGTTTATAAAAGCAGTGTTAGGTTATTGATGAAGGTCTCTGTAGAGAGTGAATGACAGTGAGAGAACATGGCCACCTAAGCCCTTACATTCAGTTGCATATAACTTAGCAATGTGGAGCCAGTTGGATTTCTTCTGCCACATTGTCATCCTCAAAACTGACAGCTAATTTTTTGATGTAAGAATTTTACTCCTTGGATAAATATAAAACCAAATAAAATCCCTCAGGTTTTTTTCTTTCTTCGATACTATATACTTCTGGAAATTTGCAAAGTTAGGACCTGACCTGTATTTTTGTTTGGAACATAAAACTAAAACAAAGACTCAACGAAGGCAAAAGATTACTTGTGAAGTTTACTTTCAGACTTGAGAGTGACCTTCCAGAAGGATGGTAAGTGCTTTTTTTTTTAAAGTTTTTTTTTTTATTATTTATTTGAAAGAGAGAGAGAGCAGGGGGAGGAGCAGAGGGAGAGGGACAAGCAGACTCTGTGCTGAGCACAGAGCCTGGCACAGGGCTGGATCCCAGGACCCTGAGATCATGACCTGAGGCGAAATCAAGAGTCGAGATTAACCAACTGAGCCACCCAGGCTCCCCCAGATGATAGACTTCTGAGGACTGAGCTCTATCCAGTCTCATCCACAGATTAACTGTGTGATGCAGCTATAAACAAGTTAGTAATCTTCTTTGAGCCTTGTTTTTCCTATCTGGAAAAGAAGGCTGGGATAGAATCCCAAAGGTTCTTCTGAGTTGTAATATTCTGATTCTTACACAACAGGATAGGAAAAGATAGCTTCTGGTTACCCAACCACAGAAGTCCTATACACATTTTCCTTCTCTGCCCTACACCTCCTCTAACACTCCTAAGGGGGTTGTAGCTTGTGGCATCTTTAGTAGTTGCTTCCTGTGGACAGCTTTCCTTCCAACTTCCTGCTGTTGAGGTGAAAGTTCTCCGCTCCATTCCATTTTTCTGGTTCTTTACTTAAAAAACATTTGTTCTCAGGGTGGAATATATAAATTGCTGATTTGTAATTCATGAATCACTGCTATAAAAGGACCCCGAGAACTTTGTTTTCGGGTCCTCAAAAATTGTTAATTGGTTGCAGCGTGTTTCTGGCCACTTGGATAATGGACTTAAGGCACTGCTTTTCCAGCTAACTTCATCTTTAATAGATGTAATTCTGTATTTGTGCTCCAGCAGTTTGCACCTACTCAGTGCGAGCTGATATTAAAGCAGATATTCTAGATTGCTTTGGGGGTTGTTTGATACGAGTACCAGGCAAATTACTGAGTAGTTAACGGAGCCAGAAGTCCCAGAATAAATTCCCCACACTCTAAACCCTGCTAATAAGTAGCTCTCATGTTCCCTTACTTTATTTGTTCTGTACCTAGTGATGGAGTAGTTACTGCAATCCTGGATGTTGGGTGCTATGTTAGGTCCTCCGGGGCCAGGCTTCTATTGCAAAAGGAGCCATGTTTACAAAAGTAGAACAAGCTTCCTCCTTGGGTCTTCTCATCACCAAGTAACCAAAGCTGTTATAAACCAACCAAATAAGAAATCTGAGAAATTATTTTTCTGCAGTTTTCAACATGTCTTCCTTTTTATGTTTTCTTAACCGTATGTGGAAGTTTAATAAGAATATTTCATATGTAGCCAATTGGAGAAATGAATTTCCTAGATTAGTCACATTATATGTGATTTTACAACCAAAAATACTGAACTGCAATGGCAGGAAAATTCTTTTTCTAGTAACTTGTTCAACCTTAGCTAAATTTGGAGGGCACAGACTAGTAGCCTGGGAGTCAAAAAACAAGAAAAATCATGGCAGCTCATCAGCCAGCTGTGCCGACAAGAGCCCGTTACTCAAGTTCTCTGAACTTCAGGAGAGGATAAAACATAACTTGGCAGCTGTTGCGTGGGGTTGTGAGGAACACATGAGGTGGGGTGTGTGTGTGTGTGTGTGTGTGTGTGTGAGACTGTGCTTTGTGTTAAAGAAGATACAATCCAAATACAAGATAGATAAACTGTGAAACGGGCTTGTATGACAGTCTATCTAATTATATTGCTTTCATCTGTGTGGTGTTCCCACATTTTATATGTAAACAAGAGCTTGTAAGGTTGATTATCTCCCAATTATCACAACTAATGAACTCTTAATCAGCAGCTGCAAGTTTAGATTTTATTGAAAGGAAGAAATTAAAGTGATCAAGGAGATTATTTTTTCTCCATTGACATGTAAACAATAAAGAGAGTACTAATTAGAAAATATTTAGCTGTCCTTTATAAATACCTGAATAGTCTGACTCTTCTGACTATTCACTTTTCTTGCAAATACAGGAAACGAAGAGTCAGAACCTTCTGTAAATATTGCCATTCAGTGGATGTATCTTCTAGGGAAAATATGTTTAATATAATTTGTTAGAACCATATGCCAAATGCAGAGTTCCGCAGGTAAGAGAGACACAACCTGAGATGCTTCCTTGTTTTGGTCACAATATTTTTGGAGCATGCCTTCAGAATAATACTGTGGAAAGGAATTTCCCCCGGTAATGCTACTGTAAGAAATTGCTTTACTCCATTAATATCAGTACATACTAATTTTCTGCAACTCAGTTATATGCTTTATTTTTAACACTTTAAATCGGGAAGTACTTAATTATTGATTCTGTGAACATTATGACTTCATTTAGTGACTGCCACTCAAAAAAATTAAAATAGGATTGATGGTCAAACTACATTATTTCTAAGGAGCAGAAGCATTCCAGATAAATTCAACCAGAGAACAATTTTTCCTCAGCCAACGCCTACATAGATCGATGGGTAACATTTCCTTCTCCCCTTTGGAATGGTGACTTGGAGTTCTGACTTGGACTCAGTGCAGCAAGATTAAAGGTAGTGAGAGGCAGACCACAGAGGACCATGTTGGCTCTTTGGATGTTAGATTTTTTTGTTGCCTTGGTTACCTTTGGTGTTGGTTTCTTCCATTAGGCTTTGTACCTTTCTCCTAAATCTCACTTGATTTGTTTGTTACCTGTGGGGTTATCAGACAGGCCAGCATGGTTGTCACCTATTTTTTGCCTGGAATTATTGATAACCTTGAGATTTTTGTTACCAGTGTCTGTGGTCTCTTTGACGATCCTCTCCAAAGGTTTCTCTCGCCGATTATTTTGCTTCATTCTTTTCTTAGACCTGAATGAGGCTGTCCCAGAGACAGAGCGCCTGGATTCAAAAGCACTGAAAACCCGAGCCCAGCTCTCTGTGAAGAACAGACGCCAGAGGCCCTCTAGGACAAGACTCTATGATAGTGTCAGTTCAACAGATGGAGAAGACAGTCTGGAGCGAAAGGTGAGCCCCATTGACTGATTCCTGACTTGCAGTGTAGAGCTGTCTCCTTGTTCCTACAGCTTTTTAAAGATGGATTTTTCTGCAGCCAGATTCTATGCCCTAGATGGAAACAGCTGGAATAGTTCACTGCTTTGTCTCCTAAATGCTTACTCAACTCGATATATTGTAATTCAGCTTATTTCTGTACTCATTCAATGAACTAACCCAAGAGCATTATCCATATTGTCGTATTTCATGATGGTGCTTTTATATTCAGCTGTTGGTTTTACCTAGTGGGAAATAAGGAATGTACAAGTAATTGTTTCTGTATGTCTTAGGTGTCTGTCTTAGCTACAGTGGTAATATGGTGAATTGCTGTAAACTATGCAGTCTCATCTGTAAACCCCCCAAAAAACTGGTTTTCAAGGGGTTTACTAAAAAAAGTTCGGTCTGATTTCAAAGTAAGTATTCCATGGAGCTGATGCTCAGCGGCATGACCTCCTTTATAATCTCTTATACCAACAGCCTTCAAACAGTTTCTATAACCACACACACATTACCAAATCACTTCTGCCCAAGGGTTTGAGAACTTCTCCAGAATCAGATTCTGGTGCTCCATGCCTCACTCCAGTGGCTGGCAGTGTGCCCTTCTCGTCTGACCACATAGCTGAATTTCAAGAGGGACCACTGTGCCTGGAAAAAGAGCCTTCCTCCCTTATTTGGGGAGACACTTCACTCTCCTCTCCTTCAAAATCTGATCATGATATGGAAGAATCTCCATGCCACCATCAAGCCACCACCAAGAAAATGTCACAAGAAAAAGGTACTGTTGATTTTTATTGTTGTTTTTGCTTTTGTTTTGTGTAATTTCACTAACTCCTTGATTTGTGCAATATTAAGAATAGCTTTTTCTGTCATAGTCATAAGTCCTTTGTCTTCTCACACCTAATAATTAATATTGCTTTCTTTTTATGTTGTGGGATAAGAGCACATGCCTCTCCCATTTATTTATTTATTTATTTATTTATTTATTTATTTATTTATTATTAATTTATTTATCTATCTATCTTTTCCTACCAGGTTAGTATTTTTACTTCTTCAGCTGTCCACAAGTTTATTACTATTGAAGGAAATTCTTCAGGAGGCCTACTAGAGATTTTATAGAATAGCAGCCCAGAGTTTCAATAAATACTAACATACTCACATTGAGAAAAGAAAAAAAAAAGTGTATATAATATGTATGTATATAATATCTATAAAAATGCATTGCATATGCACATATACATAGATACACGTGTGTGTGTGTGTGTGTGTGTGTGTGTGAAGATGAAAGCAGTGTAAGTTTTAAACCATTAATTGGTTTTTATTTAGAAGAAATTTTCACAATAATGATATATTACAAAAATTCTGACAGGAAATCTATGATAAAGATAATACAAAGAGATTAATCAATTAAATTTTAAAATAAGCTCCTAGAATTAACACCACAATTTAGTAGTCATGTCAATAGATTTTTGTCATTTTAATTTATAGAAGTAATAAATTCTCATTAAACAAGTTAAATGATACAGAGATGTATAAAGATTAAGTTCATTTTTTCCTACCATGTCTGATGTGTCCCTTTATAGTAACCAAGTAAATTTGTTGATATTATCTTTCACATGTGAAATACACATAAGTATATATTAGGTGTATATGCACGCATGCACACATGCGTGTGTGTGTGTTTGTGTGTGTGTGTAGATGTAAAAACAGAAATACTTTTTGGTATGTTTGTGTTTTGTTTTGTATACTTTTTTTACAAAAATGAATCATACAAGTAACATGACTTTGCAGTTTTGTTTTATACATAATATTTTATGGACATCCCTCTAAGGCAATATACACAAATTTAAATGATAAGAGAATCTTATCTAGTGAGCATATAATATAACTGAGGCAACTATTCTAATATTGGTGGACATTGAGGCTATATTCTAGTAGGTTTCTTTTTGTGTATTGCTTATTTGCTTACCACTGTGAAAGAGGTTATAACAAGCATGTGTATATTCTTATATACTGACACTTTCATTTCTTTAGAATACATTTTCAAAAGTTGAATTGGTAGTCAGTATATTGTACTCAAGGGAAAAATGTATAGCTTTAAATTCCTTTATTATTCCTTAAATTCCTTTATTATTAAAAGACTGAAAATAAGTAAAATAAATATTCATTATAATAGGAACAGAACAACTAAAAGGCAGGAGGAAAAAGCAGAAAATAGAAAGGAGCAGGTAAGAGATATAAGCTGAATTTAATTTTTACTGAAATGAAAAGCCTATTCTTAATTCCTCTCTCCCCCCAAAAAATGTAGTAAAAGTGTGCAAATTATTCTGGCTAAAAGTGAATAGCCCCTTGGGAGGACACATTAAGAAAAAAATAGAGACACAAACGAAAAAAGGAAGCATGGGAAATAAGAAAGGAGATACAGAGATTAAAAGAATTATTTTTTTTAATTTATTTTTTTATTTTTTTAAGATTTTATTTATTTGACAGAGAGAGAGATAGCGAGAGAAAGAATACAAGCAGGGGGAGTGGGAGAGGGAGAAGCAGGTTCTCCGCCAAGCAGGGAGCCCAATGTGGGGCTCGATCCCAGGACCCTGGGATCATGACCTGAGCCGAAGGCAGATACTTAACCTCTGAGCCACCCAGGCACCCCAGAATTATTTTTTTTTTAATGATAGTATGTGAACTCAGTAGATTTAAAAATCTAAAGGAAGTGGCGTTCTCTACAAAATTAGTCTGTTCAAATTGTCTAAGAGGAAAACTTGGATAAACCAATAATCACAGAAATATGAAATGTGTTTTTATAAACGCTTCCATTTAGAAAATCACCAGAGCCAGGTGGTTTTATAAGTGAATTCCGCCTAAGCTATAAAAAAAAAAAAAAAAAAAAGATAGTCTCTATTTTATGCTAGTTATTCCAGGTAGGGTGTTTCCCATTTATTTAAGTAGCTAGAGTCCTAAAAACTGGTAAAGACTGTGTGGAAAAAGGAAATCTTATGCATGTAGATTCATTTTAAATATGATGCTAATCAATTGAATCCAGGAGTGCAAGTTAATTAAATTCCATCATCAGGTAGCATTGATTCGGAAAATGTAAGAATAGTTCAACATTAGAAAATCTAACAATATAAATCATCATATCAACAAAGGAAAGGTGAAGTGTTATAATATTAATGGAAGTCGAGAGGCATTTGGTGTAATTCTTCAGACATTTTCAGTAAAAACTTGTTAAAGTAAAAATGGAATTAGAAAAAATTTTCTGAATATGATTGGTTACTTACCAGCAATCAACCACTAAATAGTGAATCTTAAGCCATTTGCACAAAAATTAGGAATAAGACATGAATGCCAACTACCCTCACGATTTTCAAGTATGTTTTTGAGAATTTTCTCATTGCAGGAAGATAAGAACATCAAATAATAAGTATAAATTTGAAACAGAAAAGACAAAAGTATCTTCATATAAAGATTATATGAATATTCATCTAGAAGATTAAGTGGCCAGATATACAATAAATATATAAAATCAGTATCTTCTTGTGTGTAAGGGTGAAGTGTCTGCAACTTACTTTGAAATGCATTTGAAAATTAATGGATTAATGGATGACTAGAGGGATGGCTGTATGATAAAGCAAATGTAGTAAAATGGAAATTGTAGGATATAGGCAGTGGATATACATTTGTTCACTGTAAAAATTTTTTATCTTTTGGAAAAAACCGAGTGACAGAAAGAAATGTCATTTTTGTCTATATTGATCTAAAGATTTGATACAACAGACATTTTGTGGAGCTTGATAAGCTGATCCTAAGTTTATAAGAACGGATAAAAGGCCAGGAATACCTGAGACTCAAATATATATATGTCCTATTTTATGACAGCTGGATGGGTGGATCAGTGGAGAAGGAATAGAGTTTTTTACAAGTTATTCTGGGACAACTGGTTATCCCTATTTTAAAAAATTATATTAGACCCCCCCCATACCTTGCAAAATAGTCCATTCAAGGTGAACTTAAGACTTAACTGGAAAATACAAACTATTAAACTTTTTAAAAAGACTCTATAGAATATTTTTGTGACTTCAGGTTAGAGAAGGATTTCTTAAACAAGACACAAAGAAAAAAACATAAAGAAAAGATTAATAACATCAGATGATATTAAAATTAGGAACTTCCATTTCTCAAACACACAAAGAATCCCACAAAAGTGGAGAAGATATTTACTGCCTGTGTAACTAACGTAGAGTTAGCATCCAGATTATGTAAATAACTTGTATAAATCACTTGGAAAAGATGGATAAAACAGGAGATAATATATAATATCCTGAACAGGCACTTCATAGAAAATGAAAACCAAAAGGCCAAAATATTTATGAAAGGTGTTCAACTACATTAGTAATCAGGAAAGTATGGGATAAACCAGATGAGATACCATTTTATACCTACCAGATTGCCATAAATATTAAAGTCTGATGTTACCAAATGCTGGAAACTATGTGAAACAACCAGAGATTGAAGAGTTTTCATTGTGCCAGTGGAAGTGTAAATTGGGGCAAGCTCTTTGGAAACAATTTGGCATTGATCTAGTAAGGTTGAAAGTGCATGCACTGTCGCCCAACCAGGTATGTGTATGAAATATGCTCATTAGACTGGGCTGACCGACGAATAGCCCATTTCACGGCAGCACCCCTGCTACTTGGGCACTTTTGTGTCCCTCCAGGACTCTCCCTCCCTACTTCCCAAGAAACGAACCCCAGTATCGTTAAAATGTTACGACATTGCAGGGGATGATACAATATGGATTAACGGAGTCGAATCTACCTTCATTATCCTCAAAATCCAATTTGAGGAATAACATTCTGTAAAATTCTTGAGTCCCTGGCTATGTGAGATTAATCTGTTCAGAGCTGGACTCAGCAGAGGTCAGGTATGGTTAACCTTATTTCCCTCCTTGTGTTGGTGTGTTTGTTCACATGTGAGGTTCTTAGAACTCATTGGCTCATCAGTAGAGGAACTAGAATGAGGTTCAACAAGACCTCATGTTTACATTCTTGCCTAACACTCCACTCCAGGAAAATTGTGTTCTTCTCCAAACCCAGGTTAAATCTCACCTCCTTTAGTGGACTCTTAGTACACTCGCCCCATTCCCAGGCAGAGTGAATTATTCTCTTCTCTCTGATCCCACAGAAATTTTCACATTGTTATTTCTGCTTCTATCACTTTGTGTATGATAAGCGATCTAGTTGTCAAGGATGAACCAGTTTTCTCATTCATCTTTTTCATCTTTATATTCTTGGTCCCCAGCAAAGAGTATGGCATATAATCGATGCTTCATAAGTTTCTTGGATAAATTACCAGGAGGTCTCTCCAGATAACCAATGCAGGTCATCAAACCAAATCTGGCCCCCAGGTGTTTTATAAATAAAGTCTTATTGGAACACAGCCATACTCATTTAGCTATATACTGTCTACTGTCATGCCACAATAAGCAGAGTTGAGGAGTTGTGACAGAGTATAGCCCACAGACCTCAAGTATTTGCTCTCTGGCCCTTTACAGAAAAAGCTTGCTGACCACTGGTCTAGGCATTCATTTTCTTCTACTCATGATTGCTGGGTAAACTCTGAAAATGTCTTAGTCCCTGGCTGCCATTTATCTAGATTTTTAAAAAATAATATACCATTATTTTTGGTCTATTAAGTTACTACAAGGTAATAATTAAGTTACAGCTGTACTTGACTATAATTTCAAGGCTAACAAAATGCTGGTATTACTGAACAACTACTTGAAGTTGGGTGTTTTCTAAATTGCATCGGTACCACATTCGTGAATCGTCATTTTGTCGTATTTGAGGGACCTCAGTGGAAAGTGGGGTAGAAAGAGCCCCTTGGTAACTGGATAAATGATAAACTTCTAACACCATTTCAGTTAAAGCAAGCGGAATTGTAAGATTATTTCCAGAGATTTTTAAGACAAGTTATATGACAGTAGAAAGCATGAAAATATTTTTCTCATGCTTATTCTTCGAGTAGCCTGATAATAACGTTTTGGTCTCTGGACTTCCATAGCAATGGACCTTTGTTCAGACAAGGTTAAGAAGAGTAAATTAAGCACTATCATTTTCTACTTGTGATTTCTAGAGATTCTAAGTTTATATGTGGCTGTTAGCATGTTGCCTGACACAGAACATGCCTTCAAAAATATTCGCTGAATTAATGTCCTGGCAAGTAGAACCTGGCTTTGCAAAATCTTTACAGGATTCATTTATTATTGATATATTACATTAGGTCCTTATACGTATAGAAATAGTAAATTTTATCATTGCTCAGAGGAGGGGCGAGGTTATATCCAGCTGAGATTGGTAAATAAGATGACAAAGAATGTACAATTCGAGTGACCATCGAAGGACTTGGGGGGGAAGAAGGACGGCCAAGGAAGGCGGATAAGGATGGAGGTGGCATTAGCAGAGACAGGCACACATGAGATGGGTTGAAAGCCTGCCTGAAGTGAAACAGTTGGTTTATGCAGGTTAAATGGTTGCAATAAAATTGAACAGCTATTTGAAATTAGATCTAGAATTTAAGTGCCTTCAATACCTCACTGTATCACTAGGCAACCACAGATGTTTGAACAGAGGAATAAAAAGGAAAAAAAAAGAACATGAGGTGTGGGAAAGATGAGTCAGGAGACACAGGGAGAGATGTCCTCGAAGGAGGAGCAGTAGACAATGAGGGAAAGAGTGACACAAGAGCCCATGAAACACAAGCTGCCTAGTTACGGGGGAAGAAAGTGAGGAGCTCAAAACTGACGACAGGGTCTCTAGCCTCAGGAAATATGGCCCTTTCATTTGGAGAAACAGAAGTCAGAAGAAATATGGGGTGAAGACAATTAACTCATTTTTTAAGGGCATTTTTTAAAAAGATTTTATTTGTTTATTTGACAAAGAGAGCACAAGCAGGGGGAGCGGCAGAGGGAGAGGGAGAAGCAGACTCCCTGCTGAGCAGGGAGCCCGACATGGGGCTTGATCCCAGGACCCTGGGATCATGACCCGAGCCAAAGGCAGACGCTTAACTGAGCCACCCAGGTGCCCCTTAACTCATGTTTGTAATGAAGAAGGTGGTGAGCTCAGGAGACCAGCTGGGCTAGGGGGCAGATTTGGGAGTCTGCCCCCTAGGGAAGAGGTCAAGAGTCTGGGGCCCATGAGAGGAAGGAGAGTGCAGTACAAGAAAAGACCGTCACACGTACCCTTCAAAACTGAAGGCCAGGGGCACCTGGGTGGCTCAGTCGTTAAGCGTCTGCCTTAGGCTCAGGTTATGATCGCGGAGTCCTGGGATCGATTCCCGCATCAGGCTCCCTGCTCGGCCGGGAGCCTGCTTCTCCCTCTCCCACTCCCCCTGCTTGTGATCCCTCTCTCGCTGTGTCTCTCTCTGTCAAATAAATAAAATTTAAAAGAAACTGAAGGCCAGTTGCCAAAGCTTGAAGCTGCCGCACCCGACCTGGGGGCTCAGACTTCTGATTGCTCTTGAAGGTGGTGTTGGAGAGATTTCAAAAAGCCTAATGGAAATTTTACATAAAGCTAAATAAATAAACAAAAACAAGTCACGTTTTTTTTTTTTCTTTTCCTGAAATCATACCAATCCAGTGTTGGTTTTTGTGCAGACTAGAAGTTCTAATGTGCATTAAGGATGGATTTGATTGATTTAAAATAGGGAAGTGCATTATTACTTAATCTTGCCTCTTCAGCCTTTTGAAAGCATTCATTTAAGTGTTCCTTGGAACACACTTTGGCAAATGTGTGAGATAATGATGTGAGGTTGCCTAGCAGCAGGCTCTGTAATGGGCAGAATCAGGCTTTTAGTCCCAAGATGTCCAAATAACTGCAACACTAAGAGGTTACAGAGTGTTTCCATGTACATTGTCTCATCTGGTCCTCTCACCACTAGTTAAAACATTGCCCTGCTACCTCTAATTCAGAAAATAATTAGGCAGTCTCCTTTTAAACTTTGCACAGTCCTAGCCATTAAGAGTTGCTTTAGGATTGATCTGGAGGAATCCGGCACTTTTTTTTTTCCCTTCGGCTTCTATTAAGAAAATTGAAATCCGGCTTTTTTTTTTTTTTTTTTTTTATTGTCCATTAGCAAAATCACCTCAGAAGGGGTTTGTGCCATGTCTTTGGATTTTCTTTGTGTGTCTGCCTCACATCTGTGGCTCTTTAATTCAGATACCCAGCATAATGATGCCAATATCCATAATAAATATTTGAGGCTAGAAGTGGATTTTCACAGGGACATATTTCTGACTCATGTTATTTCAGTATGTACATTCCAAGGGATTGATTGTTGTAATCCAAGTATCATTAACTAAAAATGTGAAGAGCTCATTGCTAAAAATCCTTAGAGAGTTTGTAAACATCCTGTGCTGCCACTTTAGAGCTTTAAACATAAACTCCTAAATAAAAACTGCGTGTGCAATTCATGTTTTGTGTGTGTGTTTGGAAATTCATCCTGAAACACAAATAGGAGCAAAACTAATTAGCAGGGTTAATTAAACACTTCTGTAGGAGCACTGTTCTCTCTACAGTCCATGCCAGAAAGTTGCTGGAATATTTTTAATTTTACAAAGATAGAGACAGACACCAACAGACAGCTAGGAAGGAATAGTTTCACACCCAAGGTTGCATCAAATTTAACACACCCTTTGTTAATCATCTCAGATCACCGGGCATGCTGAAACGGGACACTGAACAACATCCTTTGCTAAACAGTTCCAGGTAGAGCCGTAAGAATTATCTCCCGGGTCCAAGAAGGAATAAGTGCCACCCGTGGAATCCAGCTCCTGCATTTGCCATTGAACTCCATCCCCAAAGCCTCTCCTCTGATTGGTTTTTTGGCATCATGTTGAGTGTTCCCATCCCCCAGCAGCTGCTGCCCTTGAGAGCCAGCATAGCTCAAAGAGGCAAAGATCGTTGAGCTCCAAAGACTGAGGAAATTTTGGCATCTTCCCTATCACAGGAGGCCAGCCAGGTTGTACTCCAACCCAGCCTCTGAGAGAAACCTTTCAAAGACATAAATATTTTATAGCTGAGCCCCAGCTTAAGAAGTCTCCCCCATGTTCTGCCCTCGTCTGTCCCAGGATTGGCCAGAGGCCATTTGCAAGGGAGAGACCAGAAGAGAAAGCTTTGACTCTCACTTTCTCCCCTAAGTCTCCCAGACTCTCAGGGGTCACTTTCTGTATTGGAGGTATGGGGGAAGTGGGCTGGGTTCCTGTCAGAAGGCACCAAACCCAAAGGCAGGGCAGGCGTGGAGGACAGAGCCTGGCATTTGAAGCAAAGAGTTGGAGCCAGAGAAGGAACAAAAGGAAAGTCACGTTGGTCCCTGCTTTGAATGTAAAGAATTATTTGATAGTGTTTATTCTTGCTTATTTTGCTCATTCCAGTATATTTGAAGCTGAAACTCTTTGTTTGTTTAATTTTATTATATTATGTTATGTTAGTCACCATACATTACATCTTTAGTTTTTGATGTAGTGTTCCATGATTCATTGTTTGCATATAACACCCAGTGCTCCATGCAGAATGTGCCCTCCTTAATACTCATCACTGGGCTAACCCATCCCCTTACCCCCCTCCCCTCTAAAACCATCAGTTTGTTTCTCAGAGTCCATAATCTCTCATGGTTCATCTCCGTCTCCGATTCCCCGCCCCCTTCATTTTTCCCTTCCTACTATCTTCTTCTTTTTTTTTTTTTTTTAACATATAATGTATTACTTGTTTCAGGGGAACAGGTCTGTGATTCATCAGTCTTAACACAATTCACAGTGCTCACCGTAGCACATACCCTCCCCAATGTCCATCACCCAACCACCCCATCCCTCCCACCCCCCACCACTCCAGCAACCCTCAGTTTGTTTCCTGAGATTAAGAGTCTCTTATGGTTTGTCTCTCTCTCTGGTTTCATCTTGTTTCATTTTTCCCTCCCTTCCCCTCTGGTCCTCTGTCTTGTTTCTCAAATTCCTCATATCAGTGAGATCATACAACGCTTGTCTTTCTCTGACGGACTTGTTTCACTTAGCATAATACCCTCTAGTTCCATCCACGTCGTTGCAAATGGCAAGATTTCGGGGTTTTTGATGGCTGCATAATATTCCATTGTATATATATACCACATCTTCTTTATCCATTACTCTGTTGATGGACATCTTGGCTCTTTCCATAGTTTGGCTGTTGTGGACATTGCTGCTATAAACATTGGGGTGCACATACCCCGAAGCTAAAACTCTTTGTGATGGGTATTGGGCCTCTGTCCAGGAGGACCTCTCCTGGCTTAACTGAACATTCCTCAACATAGACGTGTTTCCTGTGGCTTTAGAAAGGCATACATTATTTTCTTTCACACTTTGGAATTGGGGTAAAGTCCTTAGATTCAGAGATGCACTGACTTTTGACTCATGGCCTTAAAAAGAATAGTAATTGGTCTTTTTCACATGTGTGTATATCCTAGATGGTGCCAAAGGTCCCAAATCACTAAGGGCATCCAGTTCACTGGTGGTACAAGGAGGAAAAATTAAGCGCAAGTTCGTGGATCTGGGGTAAGCATTTCATGATGTAAAAAACAAACCCTCTGTAAAAAAAAAAGAAGCTAAAAGAGAAAATGTCAGTTTCCCTTTCTGACTGTATGCTGTCATTATAGGGCACCTTTGCGAAGGAATTCCAACAGGGGAAAGAAATGGAAAGAAAAGGAAAAAGAAGCCAGTAGGTTTTCTCCCGGCAGCAGGTACGGGTGGGTGATCTCAACTTTCTGGCCCCCCTCCTCCTATGGTTAACCAAAATAAGTGGTCAGGATCTATGAGCTGAAGTGATCCACCTAGAGGTGAGATGGAAGAGAAATTGCACCATCAGTTTATATTTGTCCTACCCCAGTTGTAGTCTACACTGGCGTCGGGTATATCCATTGGCTTAATTGCAGAATTATGGTCACATGAATGGTTTCAATAAATGTTTATCTAAATACAGCATAAATATATCTATGTGATACGTCAGTTACGCATATTTCAGGGTCTTTACCTGGCTACCCACAACACTAATGTCCTATTTTTTGTCAAGTCTGAAAGGATAGTTTTATATTGAAGTACCTTGTTGGTTTTCAGCACTATTCTGTCCACATGTGAGAAGGACCTTCATCTCTTGCTGGACTCAGCTATTCAGTTGATTTTCTTCAGGCCCTACCAACTATTCTTATCAATAAAAACTTCCCTATCAAAAAGTGAGCTTCGTACTGCATGTTGTCAAGCCTTCCCAATTTTATTCTGAGATTACATAATTTTAAGTTTAAATTTGTATCGAGAAGCAATGAGGCATGGAGCTTGACTGCCTGGATTTGGATCAGAACTCTCCTAGTTATTACCTTTAAAATCTTGGACAAACTCTTTAACCTGTTTGCCTCCATTTTCTTGTGTGAAATAAGGGTAAATAACGGGATCTACCTAATAACTTTAGAGTAAGGATTAAGTACGTTTTCATACAAAGCATGTCAAATGGTACCTGGCACGTAGGAGGTATTTAAAAATAATAATAATTAAGATAACAGTTTCTTATCATTATTTCTTGCAAGTTACAGTTTTACAGAGCAGTTTTACAGGTATCACTTTAGTCGATCCTTATAATAAGGTTGGGAGGCCAGAGAATAATACCATACTTTATTAAGAACCTCACCTTTGTAGAATTTAATTGATTTGCCCACGATTATGCAGCAGGCAGTTAACTCAGCGGGGCTTGTGCCTCCGTCCAGATGCCTTTGCAACACAACACCTCCCCTCCACTTGTTTATGCATTGAATGATGCGGAAATCTCTTCACGAAATTTGGGAATCACCCCGACAGCGGCAGACTAAGGAAGAAACAGAATGCTAACGATAAAAGATCATCAAATCATTTGGGGACCACTGATCCACTTTATAGGTCGTCCTCTATGTTTCTTTTTCTTCTTTTCCTTTTTTCTGCCAATACCACTTGGTGAGAAATTGTACCTTCTTCCTGGGATTATAGGAGAGTAGGGTCAGGGATGAGAGGAGGGAATTCCCAAATTAATTGTGTTAGTCTTGTTGTGGTGGTGGTTTGATCCTGTACGGTGGAGAAAGGGTAAAAAGCTCTGTTTATATCGAGGACACTGGTCTTGGGAAAAATAAGTCCATGACCCAACTCAAAAGCAATTTAACTTTATGTGGTTTTGGAGTGAGAAATATAAAACAGTCTGCTGTGTGCTTTAAAATTAAGAATAGGAAACGATCAAGTATACTCAGGATAAAATACAATAAAAAGTGCAAGTGTTTCAGGGAGAGAGAGATGCCCAGATGCACAACGGGAGAGAAGCTGGGACACTTCTGTAGTAAACAGTGCCCTCGTTTTGGCCCCTGGACTTCTGAGGCAGTCACTTCCTCTCACCTTGAGGCTCCACCCAGAAAGGGATGGAAGGAAGCATCCAGCAGTGGGGAGAAGGTTTGACATGAATTTCATCATAGTAGCCAGAGGGTATCACCTCCCTGTACAAACAGGTGAAAAACAAGCAAATCTTGATTCTGTTGGCGGGCACGCACCTTACTCTAGGCCAGCCCCAGGGAGTCAAGGGTGGGCTGTCACTGCAGCGAATGCCAACTTTGGAACCAGCAGCCAGCCAGCTCAGTATTTTTAAAATACTAACCCTGAAGTCTTTCCGCTTCACTGGTCACAAGTATTTACACATGTACCAATGCGACAAAATAGTTTTCAATTGGAATCATAATTTTATAATTATCTGTAGTCATAGTAGAATTTTGACAGGTCTGACAGGAATTCATGTAATTGAAATAATAGAAGAACAAGGGAAGAAGAGGGAGGACTTCTTCTGTTTCACAGAATAATTTTTTGAGCTATCACAGGAGTTGGTTAACGCTAATCAAATCTAATGACAGCCTCTCTGCTCCTGTATAGATTGATAATGGGCCCAAAACCTTTTAAGACATAGGTCAGAAAACAGAGTTACTGCCCAGTAGGGGCTTCATGCAACTGAGTTGGTTTCACAGGGCCCCCGAAGGTGGGTGGGTGGTAAGCACCGTCAGCTTCAGGGTCCCACTGCAGTTGCGGGGGACTGGGAATAAACTCATCACCTCTGTGAAGCTTTCTCAGAAAAGAGAGGGAATGATTCATGAATTGAGTTAGTGATCTTATCTCTTAGGCTTTTCATTATTAGGCTGTAAAAATCAGATGAGGTCATTCAATCAGTTCTAGCCTGAGGCTGCAGGACTTTAAAGAGGCAAGACCAGAGGTTTGCTAAATTCGGTCTTGGTTTTAGTTTTTTCCTTCCTCAAGAGTTAAGAGTTTACTTTATTGTATTCCTTGGGGGAGACCTAATGACTCACATGCACGACCAACATGAAACAAATAGATGAGGTTCAATAATTATAATAATAAATAAACCCTACAAAAAATATGGCTCGGTCCTAACCTTTTCACATATGTGCTCAGCGAACATTCTGGCTTAAGCAGGCAGCGTAGCAGACAACAGAAGCAGGAAAGTGAGTGAGAAGAGTAAAAAGACTGTCCTCATTTTAGAGCGAGTTGCCACTGATGTAAGTAGAGTACCTGCTTTAGAGCTCTGTGGGAGAAGCTCCTGGTTGAGTGGCAGAATGGAAGAGCGTGTAAGCAGTTATGTGCATCTCAGAACAAGGCTAGACGGTGGCGTGTGGGAGAACGACAGGAAGAGAGATGGCACACCTTTGTGGAGGTGAATTTGCATTCCCCTTACAAGTGTCAACTGTGGAAAAAACACTGTGCTGGAATCCAAGTATTCATCCTGACTTTGCCATAGGTAAGGCTCTGAATTTCCTAGACCTTGGTTTCCCACCAAAAAATAATCAGATGGGTTAAAACTACATGGTCTCCAACTCCCCAACCATCTCTGTCTGTACTATCCAATATGGTAGCCTCTAGTCAGATGTGGCCATTGAGCACTAGAAATGTGGCTAGTCTATGTTGAGATGTATTGTAGGAGAAAATGCATGCAGGATTTCAAAGACTTAGTATGAAAAAAAAAGAATGTGAAATACCTTATTAAAAATTTTGTAATACTGATTACCTGTTGAAATAATAATATTTTGAATATTTAGGGTTAAATAAAATACAAATTAATTTTACCTCTTTTTTTATGTGGTTACCAGAAAATTGTAATTTATATATGTAGTTCATATTATATTTCTATTAGACAGTGTTGATCCATATGATTCTATGAAAAACATCCTCTTTTGAGTTCTAACTCATTCCGTTGATCTATAAATTGGCATTTTTCCTCTTTATTTTTTTTTACCTTTTTATTGAAGTATAATTAAAATACAGTATTATATTAGTTTCAGAGATACAATATAATGATTCAACAATTTCTGTGTATTACTCAGTGCTCATCACAATACATGTGCTCTTGTTTGTCTATTCTTTTTTAAATCTATAGCTACTCTTCTGTGTTCCCAATATAATTTCTTTATACACAGAGGTACAAAAGATGTAACAATATAATTTATTTTAAGGGCAAATTCGATGGGGAAGAATAAGATAAAGCAGAAAGTAACATTGCTACTTAGAATATAACATCTTCAACAATACTGTCATATGTGCCTGAAGAGAAAAGCACCTCACCACTGCCTAAACTTGACCCACAAAGGCACCCCAAAAAGGAGCCAAAATTTCTTTAAAAAAAAAATTATTTAAAAAACAGGAAACAAAATGCAGTTGTAAATGGCCAGAGGAGAATGGCGAAATAACTTCAACCTGGCAAGTTTCAAAGCGAGCGTTTAAGGCATAAACAATGATAATGAAAACACAGTAAAGCCCCTGTGGAGTGCTTAACTTTGACAGTAACACTTCTGCAGGTTCTCCCCTTCACTTGATAGTTTTAATGCCCAAAGATGGCTTTCCTTAAAAAGAGGATTATTTGGGTTATAAATTAAAAGTAATTGATTCAAGTCTCCAGTTTTAAAACCTTTTTTCGAGTTTCAGTTCATCTTACAAATCTTGTCATTTTGTTTATACATCTAGTAAAATTTTATAAAAAATTTATAGAGACCCTTGAATAATGTTAGCTTGGCCTCAGTAGAGTGGTCTTGTTCCCCCTGTAATTGTCTATCCTGTTTTTAGAAAACTGCACTTATACATTTAATCTGTTCCGTTTTCTTTTTAAGTACATCCCAGTGCTTGAAAGCTGACAAACTTTGACATTCCTAACACATCAACACTCTTCCACTTGAAAAAAACTCTTGAAAATCTAGTCGATTAAAATGGTGACATAGTGGCTGTAAACATCCAGTGCTCTTATCACTTTGATTATTTTTCATCTTAACCAGTTAAATATATTAAGATAGAATCAATAGACAGACTTCTCTCTCAGATTTCTAATAATACAAATTTTCTTAAATCTTAAGCAATATATTTATTATTCCTAAACCTAACATTTTTGTTTTGAAATACCAAATTTTTATTTACATAATCATCTTGCTGTTTCATTTTAAACCTTCCCAGGATGGGGAGGACTCATTAAGGGAACAGTTTCTCCATCTCATATGAATGCAGAGGGGGCACAAAAGACCTTTTCCCTTCTACCCTCTGGGGTTTTCCAGCTGGAATCCTATAAATTAGATTGACAGAAGACAGGTTAAGGGAAAAGCATACAAATTGATTTAATGTAAGTTTTGTGTGATGCAGGAACCTTTATCAGGAACTGAAGACCAAAGAAGTGGTTAAGCCTGAGCAT